CTTCTATTTGATTATAATTGAGGAAGTATTTATAGGAGTAATTTAGAAAAAATTGATAAATATGATAAATAGATCTTATATTTAGGATCAAAACCCACTCAATAATTGGGTCCTATATTAAGAATCGGAGGAGTATAATATAAGAATTACTTAACTATTTTATATAAATTAAAGAGACTAAATATATTACTTAATTCTAATCATTGTGACTTGATCTCCATAAAATACTGCTGTATAATCTTAGATTATATATGAGTTTATAAGTAAGATAAATTAGTTTGGGAGAAATGATAAATATGAGAAGAAAAGTAAATTAAGTTCTTATAGTTAAAACTAATTAAATCAACTCCCTAACTTGTTCTTGTATTCAGAACCGAAAGAGTAGTTGAGAAATTAAGATACGCAATTTTTGTGTGTGTGGGGGATGTGCTATGGTCTATCAATTTTTTAAGGTCTTGTTTGGTATGGGGAGAATGAGGAGAGGGAAGGAGGTGAAGAGATTTTGCTCCCTTCCCCTTATTTGTGTTGTTTAAGGGTATGTTTGGCTCAATGAGAGAAAGGGAAGGGGAGGAATTTTAACGGAGGGAAGGAAAGGAGAAGAGAGTGGAAGGATTTTAATATTATCTTGTTGGGATTTATAAAAAAAAAGAGAGGAGGGGAGGGAAAAATATTTTAATATGGACAATTTTGCTCTTATTTTACTTAAGATATGGGCATAATGGATATAACATGACAAAATATGGACATAAGAGTCACAACATGACAAAATATTGACATAATGATCACAACATGACAAAATATTGCCTTTTCCCTCCAAATTCTCTCAATTTTCGAGGGGAGGTTGAAGAGAGGAGGGGAGAGAAAATTTTATCCTAAAATTTGTGTGTTGCCAAATAAGGAGAAATAATTAAAATTCCTCACCTTCCCTTCCAAATCCTTCATACCAAACACACCATAAATCTTTAAGAGGGGAGGGAAATTTTTTTAAGATTTTTCCTCCTCTTCCCTCATAACCCTCCCCTCCCAAATTGAAAAGATTGGGAGAAAAATTATAATATTTTGGGTTATTGTGATTAATATGATTATAATTAATTTTTAATATCCCCATATCACCTTTCTAATTTTACATCATGCGGGGAATGAATGGTAGTTGTTGCACACTTGTTGGGTCATAAAAAATTCCTCTCCTCCTATTTTATTTCATTAATCCAAATAAGATAATATTAAAATTATTTTTTTTTTCCCTCCCCCTCTGTTAAAACTCGTCTTTTTTTTTTCCCCTCTTTTTAACCAAACACACCCTAATGATTTTGGGGCTTTTTATTGTTCTTTCAGGATTGATTTCTACAACATAATCAGAAAGCCATCATAAGATTTCAATATTTCATTGGCTAACTGCTATATCCAATCTTACGAAATATGCATTCTGTAAAGAGGATTCTAATCTAATTCAATGACAAATGCGCAATCACAGGGCCACAAAATTTCTTAGCATCACAACTTAATTCAGCCACATAGTCATAGTCGTTGCATTTCTAATAAGCTGACAATATCAATAATTCAATATAATCCCAATTTACAGCGACTTACCAATCAAAACCAAAACTTTACGGATCCCATGCATGAATGTGAGAGCAATTTGTATAAAACATGAATTACCTAACTACCTTTAAGTCAAGAGCAATAATTACAGTTACAGTTATAATTTTGACCATCTCAAAACACTAATTTATTAAATGGAAGAGTTCCTTAAACTTGTAAACTACCCATATTATTTGTCACCGGCAAAAATTTCTCACGTACCAAGAACGGCATTGAATAGATAAAAGAGATACGAATATTGGATAAAATGTGATATAATAATATAGGATTTTTTCTCTCACACATTCCTTCTATTTTTACTTTTATTATACTCTTCCGGTCCTTAATATAAGACTCATTTAACTAATTTGATTAGATTAAGAAAGTTAAGTAAGTTAGTTAATTATAAGAAATATGACATGTTTTTCCTAAAATATCATAATAATCTTTTCTAATATATTCTTTCTTTCTTTTACTTGATTACGGTTGAAGGAGTATTTATAAGATTAATTTAGGAAAAATTGATAAATATGAGAAATACGTCTTATATTTATGACCAAAATCAACTCAACAATTATGTCTTATATTAAAGACGGAGAAGTAATTAATAAGGATAGAATTAGAAATAGAGCATTAAAAATGGTACAAGTAACAAATAAAAGGACCAAAAATTCGCTCTATAAGTAACAAATAAGATGAATCAGAGTGATATATTGTACTGCAAGGTTTCTCAGCGTGAGACATAACATAGGACACAACGCGCAACTTCTCTAAAATTCATTGCGCCTAACACACCTCCTAGACAGTAATCCCAGCTCTACACATGCCCTGTACCACAAACAAAAAGGAAAAAGGGTTCCATTGATATTTACTTTAAAAAGGTGTTTGCAAATAAAATGCTAAATACAGTCACAAAATGAATTTTTCCCTGTACATTATATTTCAATTTATTTTATTATTTCTCTTCGTCTCTTGCTTATTTATAATAAGGGAAAACGATTTTTTTAAATATTTATTATTTTTAACTAATGTTAACAAATTTTTTAAACTACACAATCCAATTATTTAAATCTTATAAAAAGTATTAGAAGGCATGTTAGATGTTATGTGTGGAAGAGGTTCCTCACGGCTCCTCTTGTCCTTCTTTACCCATTCTTTACCCTCCTTTTTTTTCACCACCTGATCAAAATTTTAATATTTCAAATTTAACATTTTATAAAAATAAGTATTATTATAATAATTTTATTTAAAAAATACATAAATAAATTCAAACTATTAAAATCTGATCTGAGCTACTCGCAATTATAGTGAAAAATTTAAAATAATAATCACCCGTTATTAACTATTTATATTGAATATTACCTGTATAAATATATTTAATTATTTTTGAGTTAAGGTGTAAAAATACCTAGAACTTTTTTTAAAAGTATGCCTAACACCATCTACTTTTTTGAGGTGCAAATATATCCATGCAAATTCAAAATTGATGCAAAAATATTAACATTCCTTTTATTTGTGGGGCCTATGATATTATGACAAAAATACCAAAAAGTGCTCAGTTTTAAAAGTTTATAAATTTTTTTGCGCAAAAAAATATATGGTGTTTGATGCACTTTTAAGAAAAATTAATGGGTTTTTTTATACATTAACCCACTATTTTTAATCTAAAATTATAATAATATTTATTTTTGTAAAATATTAAATCTGTATTATCAAAAATTTGAAATTTTTATCCAAGAATAGCAAGGTAGGGGTGGGGGGAGGGGTTTTAAGGGTATTTGAGTGGAAATTAAACCTTAATTTTAAAAGTGATTAATAGATATGTGAAAGATTTTTCTCTTGATTTGTAAAAAAAATTTTTTAAAAATAATTTTAAGGTGTTCCAACACTCCTAATTCGTTAAATGTTATACTATTTCTGTTTTTTAATATAAGAGCTAGTTGACTAATTTAAGTGAATTAAAAAAATTAGTTAAGTTATTTATTTATAATAAATAAATGTCATTTTTTTAAAGTATTCTTACTAATCAAATATATTAATCGAATTAATATTATAGTAAGGGCTATCTTAAAAAATAAATAAATATAAAAAATAAAATAAATTAACACCTCATATTTAGAATTAAAATAAAAATCCTTATATTAAATTATTAATTAATAATCGGAGCTAAAATATTTTTCCCCGTCAGCGACCTCTCCACAGTCCCCGAAATAATCCTGTTCCCGCCGTTCACCCCTCCTCAACTTCAACGTTCAAGGAATCCACCTCCGTGCGTCTTCTTCCTTTACTCTCCGGCCTCCTTTCAAGAGCTTCACGTCCATCGATTTCATCTTCGGTTTTTCCCGTGCAAGCTTGGCGAGTTCGCAGCTTCCCTCCGGGGCAACTCCGTCTTCCACTCTTCCCTCTGCCTCCTCATCCTGGCGAGTTCCTCTTCTTTCTCGGCCTTAGAGTCTTTAAAAATGAAGTTAGCTTGTGGATTGTGATATTCTGGGGCAGTAATATTGCTTGTGAATGATGATATTTGGTTGTGAAATTACTGAAGAAATTAGTTGATGTATGGTTTTGCTTTAAGGGCTACTATGTGCAGGAAATGGAGAAAGACTGGTTATAGTTCGAGGATGTAATTGTGGCGTTGAAATGAGTGTTGAAATACCAATTCTGGTTAGTTTGAGGGTGTAATTGTGTGTAATTCTTGTGTATGTTTGGTGCTTCTTTTTGGGGAGCGCTTAAATGCTTAAATTGGTATTTCAGTCTGGAACTGCTTCCTTGTAAAAATTTTGTGATATTTTGAGAAATTTATGTTCAATATAATTATGGGCAAGACTGTCAATCTCCCTTCAACCGATTGGTAAAAGAGAGACCTTTGTCGCTGCTCTGCGAGCGGATGATAGCAAGTTATCATTTCTTGCTTACTTCCTCATTATCTTAAATCTTGTTTCTGGCAACTCTTACTTTGCAGTTCTATGGGGAAACATATCTTAAAACTTCAATTGTGTGGCATACTGTAAACATGGGTATGGTGTACATGGTAGTAGCATGTTACTTGAATGAGTTATTTTTACTTTGGATAGACGTTGATGTTGTGAATCCTATATGTAGATTTAAACTAAAGAGGAAATCTTTAAAATTCGGTCATTTAGCTCAACTAGATATGGGACTCATGTATTGCACGGAGTTATTCATGGCTTATGAATAATGTAGCATTTTATAAAGTTTACATATATTGATGATGATGATTGAAGGTATACTGATTATGTCTTTATTTTCATAAAGGAGTTTTATTTAAATTTATTCTCTTAAAATTGTAATGCTATTTGTTTGTATCTGTTTAAAATGCATTTGGCGAGAACTATGATTATTGACATTTATGACGGTTGGCGTATGTAACTTCTGTGAAAGAGTTTTCTTCTTCTCTTTTTTGGCCTAGACTTACAATACGTTGGTTGTTAAACAGAAAATACTCGTGGATAACATGTGCTGGTGTCTGCCATTCTAGTGTTAAGGGTCTTGGAAAATGATGTGTGTCTGAAGACCACTAAACTGTGTGGGGCTATTCCGACCTGCAGAACAAACCTGATTTGAACCTTTGGTGGGATAAAACTGGAACTTGAATTTGCTCTGATTGTATTCAGCTCAAAAAAAAAAAAAGATTTTGCTCTGATTGTGAGCTTCAACTTTGTTTGGAACTTATAGATGTAGATACTGCTTCAATCAATGGACCAATACCACAACACTCTCCAAAATGAAGAAGAATCCCTTTCTCTCTCCACGTTGGCTTCCATGAGATCCCACATCATCAACCCTTCAACTCCCCAATCCACCCTATGTTCCATCCTTCAAAAGCTGACTTGCTCACTTGAACTTAGTCATGACAAAGTACTTCTTCATTACTCTCTCAACCTCCTCACCCATCTTGCCTTCCACCACTCTTCCTTTTCTCATTCCATCTTTCAATCTGTCTGTTCTCATCCTCTTCTCTCTGCCCAGTCCACTCGTCTTGCTGTTGACTCACTCCAAGTACTGGCTTTGATCACAGAACGTGTTCCAGCACTTGGCTTGAATATGGACAAGCTTGATGATGGGTTTTTTGTTTCTCTCTGTTTTGGCCCCTCTGTATCTGCACGTTTATGGTTGCTGAACAACGCAGGGCGCTTTCAACTTCAGCCATCTTTACTGTTTACTGTGTTTCTAGGGTTCACAAAGGATCCTTATCCTTATGTGAGAAAAGCTTGCCTGGATGGACTTGTTGATTTGATTAATCATGGTGTCTTCGAAGACTCTAGTTTGGCGGATGGGTGTTACCATTGTGCTGTTCAACTTCTGGGTGATATGGAAGATTGTGTGAGATCATCTGCAATTCGTGTTGTAAGATGCCGTTACTTAATGTTTTCCTCTCTTTGTGTGCTTCATGGAGAATATGACTTTGCAATGCTTGTTTTTGCTCCCAAAAAAAAAAAAAAAGGACTTTGCAATGCTTGTGGAATAATAATTAAAAACTAGTATTATGAAGCTACATGGTACTGTATCCTCAATAAGCTTATTTATCCTAAATGAATAATATTTAGTCTTCCAGAAACTCGTTAACAGATTTTGCACTTCTAGAAATTTTAGTGTAACTTTGAGGTCTTATCTGATGTGTTATCTATTTTGTAATTTCAGGTTTCTTCATGGGGGCTGATGTTAGCAGCTTCTGATGCTGACATGAAAGGCTACTGGTCCAATGAAGTATTTGCCAAGGTATTTTCTTATTCTATGGGCTATGCATTTCTATGGTTGTTGGATCTTGGTTTCATAACTGGTTGACTTTAAAGCCGCAATCTCAATATTGTGATGATTCCCTATCGATGATTCTTTCCCCTTGACAAAATCAGGATTCTCAACATGGTCTTTTGATCTTAATGATTCATTCTATGTCCTTTATGAATCTCAAAACCATAATAACCCCTTCCTTGATTTGTGGGACTCTAAAAATGGCACATGTAATCGAGGTAAGTTTAACAAATATGATTCTCTCTCCAAGTTGGAGGTATTAAAAAGTTTAAACTATGATGTCTCTAACATGAAACAATATGAATTCTTCTATTAATTTAGATTTTGAGCCCATATGGAATTTGGGGCAAGCCATTCTGTTCATGGGTTATAAACAATGATTTTTTTTTTTGGCAGATTTTCTTTTATAGATATATAGATACATAGATTCTTGGCGTACGTAATATAATATGTAAAGTTTTATTGCACGATGTCATTTTATTTCTGTTGCGTTCAGAAGTTAGAATTATACTTTAATTATTCTGTTTTCTAGTATTCCTGACCGTTGGCTGCTGATTACCTTGGTATTACATGCACTTCATATTTATGCAGCTCTGTTCTATGGCAAGAGATATGAGCATGGAGGTCAGGGTTGAAGCTTTTTGTGCCCTTGGGAAGATTGAAATAGTATCTGAGGATTTGCTTTTGCAAACCTTATCAAAGCGAGTCCTAGAGGTTGGAAAGAAAAAGGAAGTGTTTGGCCGGAACACAACTGAACAATTTAAAATGCTGGCAGCTAGTGTTGCTGGTGCACTAGTGCATGGACTTGAAGATGAGTTCTTTGAGGTAACTTTTCTTGAACATTACTGCTTTATATGTATTTTACAATAATGATAAGATGTATGATGTATCTTTGAGGAAAGAGGTCTGTTGTTTAATTAAGTGGAGAACTAAGTCATTATTGGCTGCAACTATGTCGTAATAGCTTAAGAATTTCTATTTAACCTGAAGGTGCGAAAGTCTGCATGCCAGTCCTTGCAAAGACTTGCAGTCCTCTCCGCTGAGTTTGCTCATGAAGCTTTGAACATTTTAATGGATGTGTTGAATGATGATTCGGTGACTGTTCGATTGCAAGCTTTGAAAACTATGTATTATATGGCAACTAGTGGCTGTCTGAAGGTTCAGGAAAAACATTTGCACATGGTATGATTTTCATTCTTGATAAATATGTAGGCTGAATATCCAATATATGACTATATTTTATGGTTGTTGGGAGTCAAATTGATTTTTTTTTTCCAAAATAAAAAAGAAGGGTCCCCCCCCCGGGCTTAATTTTGTAGAATGAATCAAATAACTAATTTACTTGGTCACGTTGATCAAATCAATTACTAGGAAACTGTATAACCTTTGCAATAACATAATAAATTACCAGAGTCGTTCATGGCCCATAGGTTTAAGTTTTATGATAAAGCTTTTTCAAAGAGAGTTAGCGATTTCCATGATTTGATTGTGCAGATTATACCAGTTAGAACTGATAAGGGGTTTCTTTCTCCGATGGAATTTCGAAGATCCTTAGTCCTTGTCAATAAATTTAAGGGATAAGGTGCTTAAACACCCGGGAAGTGTCTATGAAGGAACACCTGGCACCTTGCACCTGGAAGTTTTTTTTTTTTTGGCTCCTATTTACCTTGAAAGTTTTATTTCGTAGCAAAAATATTTTGGCCGTTATCCGCTGTTAAGTTATACGGTTTGACCGATGCTTTTAACGGTCAAACTTAATGACAGGTAACGGTTTAGGATAGAAATACTACAAAATAAAACTTTCAGGGCATATAAGAGGGGGAAAAAAAACTTCCAGGTGTCAGGTGCTCCTTCGTGGATATTTTTGGGGTATTTAAGCACCTTATTTCTAAATTTAAATTATATATTGAATGAAAATTTCTTTTTGCTGGCATATTTTTAACACTCTTTTATCTGCTTGGCAAGTTATTATCTTGATCATGTTTAATTCTGTGCTCTTCCAGTTTATTGGTGTTCTAGCTGACAACAACAGGGAAGTGAGATGTGCAGCAAGGAAAATACTTAAACAAGTGAAGCTGAATAGTCTCTTGTTGTTTAAATCAGCAATCGGTGGTCTTCTAGATAGTTTGAATATTTACCCACAGGTTTTCTTCTAATTATTCTGCAATTTTATCTTTCTGATTCTTAAGATGGGCTCGTGAGATTTTACAATAACATTAAGTTTTGGGTATGCAATTTATTGAAATGCTTACAAAATTTTTTTTTCATCCTTGTCTGATCACTTTGTTGGATCCTTTCCCTGTTTTTGTTCAAAGCAGGCTGCCCCTTTTTAAAAGCATTTGACTCATCTTGGTTCTTGAAACCAATATAGTCTCTCACTCCCATTTTCAAAGTATTTCTCTCTCGGAGGGGAAACCCTAGCATGGACTGCATATCTTGCTATGCTATGGACGATTTGTACATCTTAGGCATGTTATCATGTTCTCAATCAAATCTAGATGGGATGATTTAGCCCTTCATTTTGCCACCCATTTTCCCGATTGGTGAGGGACTTATCATCACTGCATCCACTCTTTCCTTATGCCTTCCAGCTCATTATTATTTAGTATTTACTATCTCCTAAATGTTCACTTCAATACCCTATGACCATTGAACCTTACTTCCTCATTTTATCCATCTTGTCTATGCTATATGGATCTCATGCTGCTTAATTTTTTAATAGTTGAAGAAAGAGGCGAATACGCACACACAGAACAACAACATACTCTTTTTGGCATTTACTGAACTTTTAACTCCTGTTCATTTTGACATCTGCATACTCTCATGGCAGGACGAAGCTGATGTATTTTCAGCTGTTTCCCATATTGGCCGAAATCACCAGCAGTTTGTAGCCATTGTATCCAAGGAAGTTTTTGAAGAGGTGAACTTGTTCCTTCTGATGATGATTATATAACATGTCCAGGAACTTCATGAACATTTTGCACGTCTTGTTAACATGAAACTAAACTTGGTTGACACTATAGTTAGAGGGCATCCTTAGAAATTTGGTATTGGATAGCAGCATGCCAGCTGTACTTACTGCTTAGAATTTACCCTTACAGTATTAGTTTTGTATATCTTTGGCTTATAAGATAAGCTTAGGTATCTATAATTTTTCGGGGGACAGATTTTGGCATTACATTTCAGCTAATGCTGCTGCCTGCTTTTGTAATTTATCCCCGTAATAGAACATTGATAAATTCATTGCCATGTTCTTGTGGCAACAAATTGTAGTATGGTTTTCAGTTTTTCATGATATCAATATCTAATGTTCTGGTATCAGAAGAATGCAACCTCATAGAGGGGGGGAACAATGATTCATTTTGCCTGTAGTTTTCTCAAGATTGATTTATTCAACTAATCAAGGTGAATGAATTTTATCACCCAAAAATCTTATTTTTTGGCAGAGATAATTGAGATTGAGTTGATATTTTGCTACATCATTCTTTCAGGTAGAAGCAGCTTTTGAAGGCAACTCAGAATTCAATAGTGCGAGAGTGGCTGCACTTTTAGTCCTTTGTGTCTCTGCCTCACTCTCACGTGTAAATGTAGGCACCATACCTCCAATTTTGTTTTCTTACGCTGTTACACTCCTAGGGAGGATTTATTCTGCTTTTATTGATGTTATGGATAGGGATGCCCTTTTGGCCTACCTATCTGATAAAAGTAGATCTATTGGTTGTTTAGCCTCCGATATTAACCATGGTGAAGGGGAGCAACAATTACCCTTAGTTCAAGGTGATTACAGTTATTGCGCCAGCATTGATGTGACAAGTGTTGTTGAGACATCACACACAAGAGATGTGGAGTCTGAAACTCAGTCCCATTTTGTGAGGGAGCCAAAAGATATACTCAATTCTCAAGTAGAACAACGGCCAGTGCATGACGAAGTTATAAAGTTTACGGATCTTACTCTTTTGAAGGTCCCAGGTATCTGGTCCCTCATACAATCTGGCTTTACAAGCGAAGTTCTTCAGATCCTAAGGTAATGTAGTTCGTTGATATTTGTATCCTTTTGGTTCTAATTCAATTTAGCTTCCATCATATATCTGTATGTATATAGTGGCTGTAATTTATGTGGAGATTTGCTGACATATCTGTACGTATATAGTGGCTGTAAATTATAGCAGAATTTTGTAGTGATTCGCTGTCACAGTTCTATTCATTGGCACATAATTTTGTGAGTATTTAGATTCACATGCTCATCTTACACTCAGAACGTGGCTAGTTCATGGGGAACACCATCTGTTTGGGGGCCTGAATTGAAGATGTTTGTCCTGCGAGCTTATTTGCTATTGCTACATGACATTTGATGTGTTTTGATCATTAAGCGCATGCATGCATGTGAAATATTATCTTGATTTTCTTTTTAAGCGTTGTGTTGACAATGTAGGAGTGGGAAGGAAGATCTGGCAACTATGAGATTTGATACTATGGAATCTGCTGATGCTTTAGCATTTACTTTGCAATATCTTCGAATAATAAAGGGCCTTGCAAAAATTTGGGGAAATTTCTTCCAAGAGAAATTGATATGTTCTCGTGCAATGGGAGCAATAGACTTTGAACTGGCAAAGCTTGATAGGAGAGTTAAAGAATTCAGATATCGGTTCATAGGCTTTTCTCCGCAGGAGGAATTGAATGTCTTGGAGCTAATGTTGGTCACTTGTGTTCTTAGGCTGTGTAAAGTTGACGTATGCTGTCGAATTCCTACATCAAAGAGGTTGACTGCAATATTTTCGCACGTAGAATTTCTCCTCAAAGAACGCTCTGTCATGCCATCCACATTCATAATTGAACTCAGGAAATTGTTATCTGAAGGTGGCACCTCCATAAATGACGCTTCCCAGAGTCATTTGGAGTTTTACAAGTGTCTCGAGTCATTCTCCTTGAAGCAGTTCGTTTGTAGTGGAACAATTAGACATGTACGAGCGGAGCTAAGTATTCTCAGTAGTGACTCTGAACACCCTCTTCCTTTCGTTTCGGGACTACCAGTAGGCATTGAGTGTGATATCACCCTCCACAATATCACCAATGATAACAGATTGTGGCTGAGCATGACCATGAATGATGATGGTTCAACGCAGTATGTTTTTCTAGATTGGAAGCTTTTTGAAGGCTCTGGAGATCAGGTGAGGAATTCTGCATTTGTTGCCCCATTTTATGGAACCCCAAAGGCTACTTCTTTCAGGATAAGGGTATGTATAGGCTTGGAATGTTTATTTGAGGATGCTGTTTCCTGGCAAACTTATGAAGGGCCAAGACATGAACTTACATTTCTTTGTCCCGAAAAAGAAGTTTATCTTTCCAATGTACAAAAGACTAAATCTCATTCCCTTTAATAAAACATTGTAGTCTTGTTTTTTTGGTGGGATGACATCTGGAATTGTTGCGCCAGAAATTCCAAATTCCTATGTCAAAAGGCTAAATTGTGTTCTTTACCTTCCTCTATGCAATAGTATAATTGCAGGCAATTTCAAATGATAATAAGCTGACTGAAGAGAAGAGAGATAGGATGGGCAAGGATTTCATTTTTGTTTTACCCCAGTCACAATCAAAAGGTCTTAAGTTTTAGTGTTTCATCACCTTATTCTCATCACTCGGACTGCTATTCACAGTAAGCACACATGCGTAACATGATGGTTTTAACATGTTTTCAGCCGGCTACTCAATACGTAACTCCTCCGCGGCGCACTGTCCAACAAGAAATCCATTTCTTTTGCAGCCATTGAGGTTTCAGAATTGAAAGGCCGAAGAAGACAGCTAAAACACATGCTACCGGGAAAAGGGCTCCAAAGTCTTCTATTGTCAAACTTCGTGTCTCCACACCACTTTTGAATTCGGATTTGTCAATAGTAGTGTTTAAGGATATGCTCTTCATCATGTCACCAAACATCACCACATTTTGAGTCACTTTTAATATTGCAACTGAAAACTTCGAGACCAAGGTGGAATTCTTTGGGAACGCCTGAAAATACAACATCGTACATCATCCAACTTTGACAGGCCATATATATGTTGGGGAGGACAGAAGAACAGTACTCACAAAAGCAAATCCAGCAGTTTTGTAGATTGGTCCTGTCATCTTGCAAGAAGGGCATTGGGAAAGCATAAGCATGAGATAAGGAGTTTCATCAAAAATAGCAACAATGCCTTTTTCTTTGTCTTCGTTTGATAATGCTTCCTTGTACTGTTCGGGACTTTCTAAAGGCTTTAACCGAGTTGGATCGAATCCTATTTGGTGAATCAGAAGCTCTTTCACCCAGGAATTGTTTTGGTATCCCACGGACTGATTGTTCCTTCTGATCTCTTGCACGTCCCTCCATGGAGAAGGTTTTGCCGTTGTCCTCTCTGTTAAAAGTGATGTTAAATTTGCTGTGTAAACTTGCACTGCTATGCCCAACAGAAACATGACCACTATTACCAACCGTTTAGAATTCCCATTTTTCAAAAACTCAACATCTGCAATCATCACACACACAAAATGTTGATAATACAGTGTCAAACAGAGTACGAGGAAACAAGTTGATATATCGTACAACTACTGCCTCTGCTAAATTATCAGTTACTTTTAAGTTTTAACGGATGCACATAAATTTATTTTTTAAAAAAATCTTGAAATGTTGATCCTGTTTCTCAATTTCTCTCTCCATCATAGTTCTACACCAAGACCACTATTAAAAAAACATTAATTACTTCATAGATTTTATAAAATCATCATTCATAAATAAAAACATACAAAGCTTCTCAAAGCCACTGAACCAACAAAATCAATATATTACCTCTGATCCTTAATATAAGACCTTGTTTGACTTTTATTTTGATCCTAAATATAAGATCCTAATCCATTTTGTCTCACATATTTATTTATTTATTTTTAATATAGTCTTTCTAATGATAATATTTCTAGCTAATATACTTAGTTAATAAGGATTTTTTTAAAGAAAAAACAACAGATATTTATTACAAATAACTAACTAATCTTATTTTCTTAATCTATTCAAATTATTTAACTAACTCTTATATTTAATACCGGAGGTAGTATAAAACTAATACTACATGTAGTTCTTAATATAAGAGCTATATAACTAATTTGATAGTGACAGTAAAATTAGTTAAATTAGTTATTCATAATAAATGTGTCTTTTTTTAAATTTTAATTATCCTCTTTAATTATGTGCATTAAAATTATCCATTGATTCGAACCCTTTAATATGTGTAGTCAATAAAGATATTGTGAGTAAAACATTATAAATTTGGAAGGCAAAGTTGATTGAGATTGAACCTTTTATCTAATCCCTATATTTATGTACAACAAAAGATAACTCACCAGTCATGTAAATAAGGAAGGGATTACGGACATATTCTTTGTATTTGCTTTCTCCATCTTTCTCAGCCGCTTTTTTTTCCAATGTGATTACAATAACAGTTGCAACCACAAGAATCGCAGCAAGAATTAACCAAAGTAACAAATCAAAAGGTCTGAAGAGGATCCACCAGCTTTCGGAGTCGGACCTCACCTTTACCATCATGGACACGCTTGAATCCAAATACGGCATTGTGAAATCAACACAATCTGTGCGACTCGCTAGAACTGTGATGTCTCCAATTATAACATCAAGATTCTGTAATATTTTCATACACTGATTAAGTGTTGGAAATGAATCCCTACATATATATACATTGTGTGTTTTTTGGGCTAGCATGCTCAGTACTGATGATATCAGTTATCAAGTGGAAAGATCTATCAACGCAATCAGTGCCTCTCAATCATAAGCATACTCAGGGATAGACCTATGATATGTGCAGCCACATACCCCACCTAAATTTTTTGCTTCATTTGTAATACACATGGATTATACATGTAGATCAGGCTAATTTCCGATAATTTCTGGAAGGGAAAAAAAAAAAATCCGACATTGCGTGCCCCCCAATATTATTTTTATTTGTACCTTTGGACCCCCTTATCAATATTTTCTAGTTCCGTCCCTTAGCATATCCTGGGATGTTCTTGAGTGTATCCAAGCTTCAGGAGGAATATAATCATCAGTGAAACTATACACATACATGCCTGACTTTCCTTTATTAGAAACTGAGAAACAGAAAAGCTGACAACAGGAAAAAAATTGATCGAAAGCAACAGAGATGAATGAAAACTTGCCTTGTCTGTGATATGGCAGAGAAGATCATCGTAGCTGGAGGGAGTCAGCTCTCCATTGCTCACAGGCACAAACTCATAAGGTAAAGGAAATGGCAAAACATGAACCACTCTTTTAAACACATCAACAGTCAAGCTAGAGGCTGATACATTCTGCCCTTCTACACTCACATTAACATCAACAAATTGAGTAAAATACATCTTTGGGACCCCAATTTCCAACTTTGGTGGTCTCTCTGTTGTGTTACCCGGCCATATCGGGTCCGTTAGTTTGTATTTACCAGCTGGTTCACCATTTTCACTGTAATTTTGAAAAAGTCCTATTTCAGGTCTCCAATACCCAATGATCCTTTCTTTTAGGCCTTTCACAATATTGTATACCACAACTTTTGATGGTTCTAGTTGTCCTAGCCCCAAACTGAAATTCCCTCACAGGCCTACGAAATTAGCAGCCAGAATTTTTCTGCGAAGCTTTGGGCCTGTTTCGTTGCGCATTCCTCTATCTTCAAGATCAACTCTACTTTCATTCCCATATCCGAAAGTAGAATTGCCTAAGCTGGCCTTCTCTACCGCTTTGGCCAATATGCTGTGATAGTGTCGTAAGCCCACATGCCAGATAGAGAGAGTTTTATTGTACTCAAACTTTAATGTTCTCGCTAAGGAAAAGCGCTGAGCTATAATGCTGGAAACATTCAGTGGTCGCCTCACGGCCACTGATGGCCTCACACCCAAAGCACCATCCATGTAGGCTTTCACTTTCATATCTTTGGCTTCGGGATCTATCACTGAGGATAAGCCTTGTGTAAGTATCCAAGGGTGTCCTCTACTCAACATCCATTTAACTTTTGCATGTTTCACAAGTCTTGACCAAAGCTCCACAGTCATATGAGCAAGAAACACATGTGCGCGCTCGGGATTTATCTTGTCGAGCTCGCCGGTGATTTGAGAATCATTGGAACGTCGACGAATGACAATTGCGTTAGGCACTAGAGTGTCCATTTCTTGCAAGGCATAAGTGAGACATGGAATGAGGTCATTGCGGAAGTCTGGGTCTTCATAGATGGCGACCACAGACTGCCAATTATAAGCTCTGATAATGGCTGCGATAGCTACGAACTGAAAGCAATGGCTTCTAGTGGAGCTGGAGTAGAGGGAGAATGGGGAACGACGTGGCAAAAGAGATGGACCAGATGGAGAAAACTAAATCACTGGTACATCGTACTTCTCACCAAGTTCTACCGCATACCTTGCTTGCTCATAGTTTTCAGGTCCCAGGATTGCATGCACCTTTGTTCCATTTATTAGATCCCAAGCTGCTTAATGCCAACATCAGCAAGTTAAGGGGGGAAAAAATGGTATGCGCAGGATTGCTTGAGGCCAGTGATCCTTTTCAATTTATTTTATGAATAGATACCTTCAATATTTATTTATTCTTATTAATGCATATTAAAATCTGTAAAAATTCAGATTGCTTGCTATTTTTCTTTAACCTATGTACTCTTCTCATCTTATTTATAAAGTATTTTCAGCATATTTCATACGAACTATTGAAAATCTTAAACTACTGCATTAATTCTGCAAAAAATATAACAATTTTCTAACTTCACTTCTATTTAATATATACGCATTTCAAGAAAATAACAATTTATATTATAATAAATGAAGTACAAAATAGTACTATCTGATATCCTTAATATAAGAGTTAGTTTGATTTTAAATTTAGTCCTAAATATAAGATGTCAATCCATTTTATCTTTCATATTTATCCATTTTTTTCATGTAATCCTTGTAATACTTTCACATGTTAAATGTTTCAAGGTAATACACATGATTAGTAAGGGTATTTTAGGAAAGACAACACCTATTTGTTATAAGTAACTAACTCAACAAACTTTCTTAATCTACTCAAATTAGTCAATTAGCTTTTAGATTAATGATAAGAGGTAGCATATTTATGTCAAAAATTTAATAATGTGAATGAATAGTACCAGGGGAGTATTGTTTATGACACACAACAGAGGGAGGAAGAGTGTTGAGTTATTAGCTGAAATTCGGGCGAGGGACCTCTGCAAAATAGCTCTTGTGCACGATATGTATTTGCATTCTTAATATAAAAATTAATTTGACATTTAATTTGATCTTATACTTTAACCTACTTTGTCTATAATATTTATCAATTTTGCTTTCAAATAATCTCTATAGTTGCATATATTAAGAAGTTACTATCAATGGATAATTTAAACACATATAATTAATAAGGATATTTTAAAAAAGAAAACATATGTTTATTACAAATAACTAACTTAACTAATTTTCTTAGTCTTTTCAAATTAATCAACTAAGTCTTATATTAAGAATAGAAGGTAATAGAAGCAAGAGAGGGTGATATTTTAGTTTTTAAATTGAAAAAAAATGAAGCTTCAGCTCGTTTAATTCGCAAATACTTTGTAAAGGTGATATAAAAGCCAGGCAGATGAGAAGAAAATATGTTGAGAGACTAGGAGGTTGCTCATGCCAGTTGAGTTGATTAATAAGAAATTCAATAAACATATCTAGCCAAATAATATTTGAGTTCGAATTTTACGAACATATAAAACAAATTTAGGCTAAACAATAATAAAATTTTTTGAAACTTCAACCCGCATGCAAATAATCCTATGACCTATTTTTCGGAATATGTTATATTGACCAAATAACCAATTTAATTTTTTTATGTAAGTAACCTCTTCAAATTTGAAGTCATGTGTCCATGAAAATTCTAATCTTAAGTCACATGTATTTAAATTTTTTTAATAAAGACAAACTAAACTAACAGCACAGGTTTATTTGCTTTAATTCAGAAGTTCGAGGGTCTATTGTAAAATTGTAGAAGTATACCCACCTCGATACAACCTAAAAATTAGGAGGTTATATGTATATATAAGTTACCTAAAAGAATTATGTAGGAAGAGTTTTAACCTGAATCTACAAATATTGGCCTATGTTGTTGGATACCGGTTATTAAAAAGGAAAAAAAAAATCATGAGAAGTACTACTATCTTCTCTTATTAATATAAGAGTTAGTTTGATTTTCAATTTAGTTTTAAATATAAGACCTCAATCCATTTTGTCTTTCATATTTATTCATTTTTTTCAATCACTATTGCAAAATACTATATTTAGCCAATGTTTGCAAACTCGGACCGGACTGGCCGGTTCAGGCCGGAAACCGGCCAACCGGCTGCTTGTCCGGTCCCGTTCTCATCTAGACCGGAAAAATTTTAAACCGGTGTGAACCGTTCTGACTCGGCATGAACCGGGCGTAAATCGGAAAACCCGCTGGTTTGGGCGGCTTAGCCCGGTGACTTGAAAAAATAAACCAAATGGAGAATATGGAGCGAAGAAGAAGAAACATAGAAATAAAAAAATGACCTCTGCCTGCCTCCCGCTCTGCAAGTTTACCTTTTTTCCGTTGCAACTACAAGTCAGTTGACCTTGATCTATTTCCTTTCCTTTGAGTTTATCTAAAACGAAGGTGAGGAAGTGTGTACTGTGGAGGCATGAAAACGAAGAAAGGAAGAGGAGCATCTGAAACGAAAAAAGACGAGAGAAGAAACAAATGGAGAAAGAGGAAAGAGACAAAGGGGAAGGAGAAAAGAAAATAATTGCAAAACGAAAAGCTTGGTGAGTATTCAAATTTCATAGAGTGAGTGATGTGATTTGATTAATGATTCAGACTTCGAAAAACGTGAGATGCTTTGGAAATAATAATAACGGAGAGAGCAAAATAAAATTTGAAATAAATTAAATTAATATTAAAAATATATTAATTGCTAACAATGCGGTTCATATTTCCCAGATAAAGATATATGAGGCATCAACGTAAAACATGAAACCACAATTTAAATTGGGAAAGGATTTAGTGGAGTATTATTTATTATATATAATTAATGTATTATATATATTATTAATGGCACACAAATATTATATATATTATTATAATTACAAAATAAGTCACATATTATTAATTTTATGTGTAAATATTATGTTTATTATTATTTGACATTTGTTTTTATATCTTCACTCTATTTTTATTTAAAATAACCAATATAAATTTGAGAATATGTTATTTTAATTAATATCGGTCTGACTCCGGGTTGACCCCGGTTTGACCCACTAACCCTTGACACACTGTCTCGACCGGTTTAGTAACCGGTCCGGTTTTCAGTACCTTGTATTTAGCTTCTGTTAAATATGAATTATTACTACTGTACATGGGATGTAGTAGAATCAGCAGAAGCAGAAAATAGCAATTACGGCTTTTGTTTGGTAGAGAGAAAATGGCGTCTATTTTTGTAGTCTTTGTAGCAATTACACATGTTAAATATTTCATCAAATAGTAGTTTAAGATAACACATATGATTAGTAAAGATATTTTATAGAAAATAATGCCTATTTATTATAAGTAATTAACTCAACAAATTTTTTAATTTACTCAAATTAATTAGCTAATTCTTATATTAAGAACTGGAGGCAGAGGCAGTAACTTCTAAGCCAAATAGGGGCCGGCAGATCAGGAATTCTATTTCCATGTCATCAACAAAGAGAAAGACCGTGGAATAGCAAAGCTCGCACTTCTGCTGCTAATTGGACAGACATGAAACAGAAATTTAAAAAAAAAAAACTTAGTATCATGATTGTTTCTTTTTTCTTTCTGGGACATAAACATCAGTAATACCTGACAGTTAGGATTACCTGCGGACGCTGCAGTGAGGAGATCGGCGTGGGAATCCTTGAAATGAAGTTGGAGCTTTGTTCCATAGGAATACCCTGAGGAATACAAACCATGGAGTCCGATGTTGGTGCAATTAAGAACCGTGGGACCAAGTGATGAACTAGAATCCAGAATCACTCCTACTGGTATTATTCTTACAGTTGCAGACTCAGCCAGGGCAATGAGGCACAGAAAGCCCACAAATAAGAGACAATCTCTTTGCCTTTTCTCCATTTCTGAAGTTTTCTGCTATTACCTTTTGCTTCTCTCCTCTCGCTCTCTCCTCAACTCTTACTATCATTGAAGATAGAGACTTCATTGTTTCTGACTGGGAGAAGTGGATTTTATTTATACCAACATTTATCGACATTATTAATATATTAGTAATTTTATTTAAAGATTTCACTACTTATAACTTATTTCTTAAATTTGTTTGCCGGCTATTTCTTAAATTTTATATAAATTACAAAATCTGCATTTAGTTATAGAAGTACAGGAGGCAGGAGGGAGTGAAATTGTAAAGAGTTGAAATAATTCCTACATCTTTTGTTATAGGTCAAAATTTTCCAAAACACAAATTCAAAGAAAATATTAAAATATATGTAATGCATAAAATTTGGCTTCTCATTTTAGTCACCTATACTCTCAATTAAAGCCATATGTATTGTAGGAGTTATTCAATATAAGTGACTTGTAAAACATTTCCGTATAATAATAAATTGATTAAATTGAAAAAAATTAATTTAATTTTAATTAAATTTTTTATATTTATAAATTATTCTCATATCTTTCCACTCTTGTCTTGTTTTCAATAAGAATTAAATAAAAATAAAATAGAAAATGTATTAAAAATATTATAAATGACTTATATTTAGAATCTAAATTTATTCTTAAAAGTAGGGGTGGTAAATATGGGTCAATTTGAGAGTTACGGTTTGACCCATGACCAGTTGGATCCATGTGGGTTGGGTTACAAAGGATTATTTGAAGGCGGGTTGGCTAAAAACTAACCCTAATCCGCCAATGTGGGTTGGCTCTCAACCCACCAACAATTATTTATTTTTTAAAATTTTTCTATCTTTTAATATTTTTCTTATTCAATATTCACAAAAATATAATAAGATTTTTATTTTTTTTTGAAATATTTGATTGAAAATATCAAATAAATTATATAGATATTTTTAAAATTTTTTAGATAAGATATAATGTATAATAATATAATTATAATAATTTAAAAAATTTTAAAATAAAAAAATGCGGGTCGGCCTGCGAGTTGATGGATTTGGCAGGTTTGGCGGTAAAATAATTGAAGTTAAAGGTTTGAAATTTTTGATGCATGATGATGACAAGAGACACAAATGTAGCTACAAATATTATTTATAGGGAGATATTTAGAAATGTGTCGGTTGGAAGGTGAAGAATGAGGTGAAAAAGCAATTGTATTGGCATCAAAGTAAGTGTTGCAATAGGTATGACTATGATGACGCTATTGCATGATAGCAAAACTGTCAAGTTCTTAACTTTTATTCCAACTGTGACTCTTGTGCTCAGTTAGTGCTGAATAGTCAAAGTATGGGCCGTGGAAGTTGATGTACATGTTAATAATGCTAAGTTGAGTGGAGATGATTTGTGAGTAAAGGTGATGTGTTGATTGTGCATTGCCGTAAAGTATTGAGTGATGATATGTCGGGTGATTTTAGAATAAGTGGATCACACGTCGTATGTTTGTCGTGAATTAATATGGGAAAGAAATGGGATAATTTATGTGAAGGAATTGAAAGCATCCTACGTGGGGCTACTCGCTAATTACTAAATGAGTTAATATAATTTTTTATCTCTGAATTTTAACTTATTTTAGTTTTAGTCTTTCAAATTTCAAACCTATGTTTTAGTTCCTAAAATTTACTGTCTTAAAACGTTAGTTCCTGAAAGTGCAACCATGTTAAAATATGTTGAAATATCATCAATGACATTAAAAGTGATGATGTAGACTCACTAGATCACACCTAACTGGATCGTATACAGATCAAAAAATGCAGATAGATCTAATACTTCCTGAAAATGAATAGTGAGAAAGAAAAAATAGAAGGCAATTTGGTGAGATACATTTTGAGGAACTTTTTCCCCCCCTCTATTATCCACACAAAATTTAGTTAGATGCAATTTGGTGAGTCTGATCACCACTTTAATGTTATTTATGGTACATTAGTGGATTTTGATATTGTTACATGTTTTAAGACAGACTAAATTTCAGGGATTAAAATTAAAATAGACCTAAATTTAAGGGACTAAAATTATATTAGTGCTTATTAAATAATGTAACATGGATTTCTAATTTTTTTTAAGAATGCTACAATATTATCCCTACGACTTAAAAAGCCAGCACTTGTCAGTTCTGTGCAACTCATCGAGTATTGGTTTTAGTCCGTTTTGACATGCACACATCAATGGGCACTGCACTAGTTTTAGTGAAAAGAGTTTTGACCATTTAAACATGAGATCACAAGTTCACGTAAATGCAGAAAACATCATCAGGAGAACTATTTCTAATCGGACTTGGCAATGCTAAAGTATGATTCAATCAAATAGTCATGCCAAATACACACACATATATAACTTAGGAGATAATATCATAGCATACTGTTATTTACAAGAGGCATTTCTTTTTAGTTATTTAAAAAGAAAGGCATTAACTGCCTAAAATTACAAGTTACACCTAATATGTCAAATCTATTAACTTGTTTTTTTATTCATAGTTAATACATGTTTTTAGTTGGCCATAAAATTAAAAAAGACAAATTATTATATAGAATAGTAGATAAGATGGCAAGGAGCTTCATTTGCACTTGTATCACACCTTTAATAAGTAGCTTTGATAACTAGCTGGCAACTCCTATTATGATCAAGCCTTAGCTGACTTGAAATGCTGCTTCTTATTACACAACCAATCATTCACCAATTTTTTCAGAGTGGAAAGCTTCCCAAGCAACCATGTAATCACTGGCAATGGATTCAGAGACCGTTTAATCACTGATGGATTTATAATGGAAAGGCCTAAAGAGAGGGCCACAAGAGATGATAGGACAGGTTAAAGGTCTCCAAAGTTAGCTATGCTCAAACTTGATGTCTCTATATCATTTTGGTCTTCAAATTCCAAATCTTCAATGGAGGTGGGTAAGGAGTTCTTGGCCATCAGCACCCGATATGACTCCAAATCTTGAATCACTTTTAAGATTGCATTCGAGAAATGTGAGACCAGGCTAGATTTCTTTGAGAATGCCTGAAAAAACAATAAGTATATAGCATCTCATTAAAGTTCTAAAGACCAACCAGTAGTATATGATGCTTTATGGATTGATTGGCAAATGATTTAATTTGATAGCCATTAGGTAAAGTTATAGAGCACAACTTTATATATGGATTTAAATATATACATATATATATATATATATATATATATTGTGAAGGTGCTCCTTTTCTTTTGAGACCTAACAATGACAAGATTCGAATTTAATTCACATGTGGATTCTAAATAGATGCAATAAAAATCTTAATCATACAATTTGGGGGTACTCTCTCCCATCCTAATTATATGTCAAATTTTAAAATTAAAGCCTACTTAGTCTTAATTAAATATAGGGCAAAAATGTGATAATTAAAATTTTTTAATCTCATATCCTTCCTTAGTGGTAATAAGTTGGTCGCATGCTTCAATTCTTAAACAACATTTTATTGTGGGGTCATTAATTTTAATAATATTCATATTTTTACATAAATTGCCTTGAAAACGTGACATTAATTAGTTAACCTTACCTTGTAATTAAGAAGAGTAGAGTAAGTAGACTTACAAAGGCAAATCCACTAGTTTTGTAGAGCAATCCTGTCATCATGAATTGAGACCTGTATTTGGAGAGGAAGAGCGCGAGATAAGGAGTTTCATCAAAGATAGCATCTATTGTTCCATTTGACAATGCTTTATTGTACTCTACACGACGTCGCAACGGCTTTAACTGCTCAGGCTTGAATCCTATTTGTTAAATCAAAAGCCCTCTCACCCACGACTTATCTCGATATCCCACATGCAGACTGCTATTCCTAATAAGCTCTTTTTCGTTCTCAAATGAAGGCACCTTCATCTTTCCTTGTGTTAACATTGAAGTTAAACTCATTGTGTAGACTTGCACTAACAAGATGAATAGGAATGACATCAGTATCACCGTCCATCCTGCAGCTCTGTTATTAAGTTTCTCCATAGCATCTGGATCAGATTATGCACGAGGCATAAATTTAAACATAATAACATATATAATCAAACTATATGTACATATGTGTGTGTGCGCTATGTAAGAGATGAACTCACTGATCTTGTAAACAAGGAAGGGGTTGTAGTAAAATTCTTCAGTTTTCTTTTCTTTCTTCACTGGTTTTGGGGGTTTTGTTTCTTTCTAATATGATTATGATAATAGTTGCATCCACAAAAATGGCAACAAGAATTAACCACAATGACCAGTTGAAAGGTTTCAAGAGGATCCATTTACTTGTGGTGGCCTTCTTTACCCTACCACCATTGCTACTCTTGAATCTAAATCACAGTCTGTGGGGGTTTTTTTTTATAATTATGATGTCTCCAATTATAGAATCAAGATCCTGCAATAAATATTTTCACACACAGACCAGGTGTGAAGGTAAAAAGAAGAATCTGTATAAGCATTGTTGAGTATATACCAGTATCATACCTGACTTTCCATTATAAACTAAAAGAAGAAACAACTTAAAAGAGAAAAAGAATGAAAACTTGCCTTCACTTTCAGCAATTGGTCGCAAAGAAGATCATCAAAGGTCATGTCAGTATTTGTCAAGTGACCAAACTCAATTATTTAACGGAAACGGCAAAACTTGGACTGCTTTTAAGAACAAATTAACAACAAAGCCACCACTATCAATCCGAAGCTTACTTAAAGTATATGCATTCACAAATTCAGGAAAAGAACTTGTGTTAGGGACTCCAATTCTCAACTTGGGTGGTTTATCCAATGTGTCGCCTGGCCACAGCGGATGCTTTAGTGGATATTCACCATCAGATGTGTTGCCACCTTTGCTACAATTTTGAACAGTCTAGTTTTACGGCTCCAGCATCCGATTATCCTTTCTCTTCTCCTATCACATTGTATGCTTCAAGCTCCGATTGATATAGTCGTCCATCCCATAAATTAAAATTTATCCCTGACTGGCTT